GATAGGGACATACCTATAGGCATCGTTTGAGCAGACCCATTGTCAATGTAAAAAACGCCTTTGACGCAACAACCGGATTCAATGTGCACCGTTCCTTGACATGTTTTTCCGTATGACGTCCACGAGCTACGGAAAACGTTAGTACGAAGCCCCCCAAAATGGCGAGCAGTGTTAGAAATTCGTTGGGCAAAATATATGACGCTTTCAATAAACGATTTTGAATGTCTGAACTTGCCAAAGCTGCCAAAGTTTTGAAGGAATATATCCCAGTTGCTGGTGCAAGGGTGGAAATTTTGGTGACAGTGCATAGCACGTTGGAAGTGCAGTTGTGGAGGATGCTGAACAAGCCAAACTGGGACGCTTGTCCCACCGTATCGCATATCAGTGCTTCTCGGCACAGTACTTGCAATACGACTGCTTCTGTAATTTAATGATTATCTGAAACACGCCAGATCCATTTGATAACCTTGGTATTTGTACCGCACCTTTCAAATTGTTCTGAAAAAAAAGAAGATTTCGAGTTTAGTTACAGAATCAGCATCACTACTAAATTACGTCAAAGCAGGGATTGACTGTTAACCAGGGGCTGTGGGGGCCGACACCCCTCCCCCTTTCAATATTTTGCGTCATTCGTAATTTTGTTCGGTTCGTAAAAGCAATTTTTGTAGACAGTTGTTGATAAAATGATGCAAAATTCTATTTTTTATCTTCTTATCTTTATCTTAAAAATAAAGAACTGGAATTCAAGAAAACAGGCATTCGTTTCCATCTTTGCCAGCCCGCAAGGTTGTCCGTTGACCGAAATCCAATTATTGTTAAACAAAGTCCTTGATGGCGTTTTTCTTCTAAAAAACGAACTTTTTTTGTCTACACGGATGCAGTTTTTTCGAAACTTATGTAGATGGATTCATGAGGCTAGGATGAAACGCGACGTCTACCGAGCTAAGAACTACTGATTAAAAATCTAACTAGTGAAGACGATACGCATTCTGTGTTTCATTCTCGGACACAGCTTGAGTTGAAAGCCTTAAAGGCAATCTGTCTCCAAATTGTGGATTGGTTAACAAGAACCCAATAGCTGGAACCAATAGCCTAAACCCACGAATCTCCAAGCGCTCCGCATATTTTTTACAATGCGATAAATTAAAGGGGACTGCAAACAATAAAAATTCCTTTGTTCTTATAACCAATTCAACGTCACGTTAAGAATGTTATCTAATGTGACAATATGGGAGTACTGTGTTTCTTCGATTGCTTAAAGACTCTATTGCTAAACAATGAGCCTACTCATGCATCCCTGCAGCTCTTTTTAGGCCGGTCTTGGCAAATTATCCAGCGACAATCCAAAATTGGCATAACTTCTACGATTAACCATAATCTGATTTCAGGGACTGTCTGAAAATGCATTATGGGAGGGGGCATGTGCCGTTACCGCAATGGCTCATTGTTAGCAATGAGTCTTTAAGTTTTTCGCAAATTATTTAAGCATTTTTTGAAGAAAGTTGCTGAAAAAGAGTCTTTGAATAGCAAACTGGAAGACCCAAAGATCAGTAACTTTCCCAATTAAAAGTAGAAGGCCTATCCTTATACTGATCCTGAACAGTTATGTATTTTAGATATAAGTTTTATGTTGTTAAGTCTTACCGAGATTGACTCTGTGAAACTGATGCTTGGATAAAGTGAAGATTGGGAAGTAAACAGCCACCTTTCAGGCCTAAAACAAAGACGTTTTTTCTGCACCTCGTAAAGCAAGGAACTACATATACCCAGTTGCATGTACACAGTTCTTTATGTGGGTTAAAGTGGGTAAAATGATGCGTCTCCAAAAAAACACGTGGGGAGTGGGGCAGTTGCAACAACAATCAGCAAAAGCAGAGAAATTAGCTAACATAAGGTCAGTGCGCTCCTCAAATAGACAAGGGGGCTCTTGCCCAAAACTTCCCATATGAGCCCCCCTAGCACTATTACACCTGTGGCCAATTATGGAACTCAAATAGACCAATCAGAAACGTAAAATGTTGCAGGTATGCACAATTGTAAATCAATACCAGTGAGTCTAAGGATAAAACGAACTTCACTTTCAACAATAAGAATGGTTTTTACAATTTTATTCACAGGGGATTTGATAACTTCCAGTGGTAACAAGGACGAGATATGTTTATGTTTATGTTCGAGTGAGAACCCTTTTTTCACTGCCAAGTATATAAAAAAAAAACAATGCTTAATATGTCAAAAAAAAGATGTACGTTGTTAAAATGCAAAGTTACTCTAGAAAATAAACTTGCAAATATCAAAAGGAGTTACTCTCGATACGCAAAAACTTTGAATACACGTTCTCTCTTCCTCCTGATACTCAGGCAACTGACACACTGAGATAGAGCCTATGCCACATCTATCCAAATATTTACCAATTAAAAAATTGAATGACGTGCCCGTACCTCCCGTCTCTCCCTATCACGCCATTAAATACTTAAATCTCGGATAGAATCACAATCCGTGATCATGAACGTGGAACCAGAGCTGCTTATCGGGATGCGTACACACCACCGGCACAGCTGTCCACCATCAGAACTTAAGTTCTTTCCTCCCACACATCTTCTGTACATCACACATATACTTGTGGTCTCCTGTTTGTCACTGAACCCTCTGATGACTTGTACTTTCAGATACCTAGAGCGCTATTAGCTAACCTGTTTGTGTTGTTAACCCCTTGAACTTGGCGTAGAGACTTCCGAGCCCTGAACTACGTTACTATCTAGATTGGATCGTGTCGGTTACCAGCAACGAGGTCTGACGCGCTCACTACGCGTTGCAATGTATATCGCGGGATCGCGACCCGGCTAAGCTAGAAAGATACTACGCACACTGCCTCCTGTTGAATTCGATCACCTTATACAGGAACATTCCCTACATACATATACACACACACATCGACGATCGTCGCATCCCCCCTAGTGCAAGCTAACATACGTCACGCCCTCATCACAGCGTCTGTGTGAGTATCTATACATATCAATCATCGACCTTACGCATTATTTGAGGCTCTCTCGTAAATGAGTTTACACCAAAGATGTTGACTCCTCCCACTTCAGTTGCCCAGGCTCTATTAGGGTCTAGCGGACAAGGGGCGGACACTTGTCAAATATTCTCCGTCCTTCCTCTAGCACCTCCTTTCCCGCTCTCACGAATAAAAAGACCATTCTTCTCTAAAGTATTGGGCCCGCCCACTGTGCCGCCAACTCCTCCCTCGTCGCGATCTGCCTATTTATGGAAAATGCACGACATTTTGATAGATGAAGATCGACACCAATAATCACGCGATCCTTGTTGAGATCTGCAGGCTTACTCAAATACACAGTTTCGCAATAATAAGGCGACAAAAAATTAGGCCTAGCGTAAAATACAACAATACGGTTCAAGCCGAGGCCATCCATGACGTAATAGATATACAGTCCTTTCTGGAAGGGTAAACATCAGTAATAAAAGCTTCATGTACCCTAACGATGATAAAGCGAAAAAAAATGTTCATACATTTCACATAAAATCCACAAGGAAATATGTTCGTAGTACGTGGTGTGAAAGAAGAACTGCGAAAGGAGGTAGAATTATGGTAGACACCCAACGCTGAAATACCCATTTGTTCTGGCCATGTTACAGGACAGTGCATTCAAATTAATGGATCAAATCATCGGTGAATATCTCTCTCCCCTGTTGTAACAATTTATTCCTTTAATGTACTCTTCCTTCTCATTACTCATATTTTTGCTGACGACCCACAGCAATGGGAGTGAATAATTATAAATAGGTCTGTCTGATAACATATTTACTAGCTTGAAGATCGAAACAAAACAAAGAGAGAGGACACGGACATGCCCCCCTTGGAGTGAATCTCCTTTACCCACTCGCCAGCACTACTGGGGCCCGGTTGTCCCTAGCCTGAAAAAATAATTGGAGAGGTAACAATTCACCTTGACATCCGTTTAGGTTTGTTGGCTGTCAAATGAAGTACTTCGTTTTTGCATGCAGCTGCAGTCTCTGCTCTTCAGTGTTTGTATCTTGCTCAGTTCCCTGTTCTCCCAGGGTCGCCACAACGTTACTTCCCATTATACAGTTCCAGGGTAGCATCGACAAAGACAATCTATCATAAACACATGCTTTGATAAATTTAAAGAAAATAAATCAACCCAACTATAAACAGACCACCAGAATAAAGTGAAAAAGGGTGTGTCATGTCGCACGGTTTACGGCGATGCGAAGAAGTGTTAAACTATTCTTTAAAAATAAGATAATATAGTGCAATACTCGGGCGCTATTGGGTTTCTGGTTTCAAAAGCTGCAAACATAAGTTGGCAGGCCAAGGGTTTTTACATTTAAGGTACTTATCTCAAATAGTGTATCTTAAGGGATGGCTGGGTCAGTGATGCGCCTGGTTTATAAGGGGGCCTTTAGTGAAACCAGATGGTTGCTGTTATGTCCCCCCCCCATGCCCCCCCATCGCTGTTATACTCTATTGAAGACTGGCAATATCAGGGACAAGATATTAGACGGTAAGGATTTGGGGGGGAGAGTAGGTGTTAGATTGTTAGATAATTGATTGCGATATGTTATGTCACACCCTTTAGTGGCCTAGAAAACCATGGAAAACGCCCATTTTTACGTTTTATTTTTAACTAAACTATAAATAATATAAAGAAGAGTAGAAGGATAAACAAAGTAAATATTTGTTGGTTGTCATGTGATAACATACTGGCTAGTCAAAAAAATATGTTACCAATCAAAGCAATATACATCAATGACACAAAAATACTCGTAATGTCGCATTCCCCAGCCCCCACCCAACCCTCCACCCCCCACCCAGCCCCCCCCGTAAACGCATCCCTGCTGACCATGGCAACTGAAATACGATCATTTTTTAAAAACCAAGGATCTAGAAGATTTCAGTTTACGAAAAGGATTTATGCTATAGCTGATGCAGATAGCATAATACATAAATATATAAACATCAGTTTGTTACCTTGGCATCCGAATGGATTGTTTTGAGTGAGATTGTAAAACTCCGGTCTGCAGACACCACATTTCTTGCCATGAACGTTCTGCTTACAATAGCAATCACCTGCCGTCTGCAAGAAAGTCAAGACTAAAATCAAAATTAACAATTCAATTATTCGCAACAGAACTTGCAAACTGAAATATGAGAAAAATTACGACCTATGAGTGCGGACTTCATTTTACGATTTACAAGTTATGTGTTGTCTATTATTATACCAGAAGCACTTTATTTTACGCCAAGGTCGTAATCGTCAAACAGTTTCTTAATTTTGTTGTCGATTTCAGTGCTTAAGGTTTTTTAAAGGTTTCTTAAAGGCTTCTTGAGGGTTTCTTAAAGGTTCCTTAAAGGTTTCTTTAAGGTTTCTTGAAGGTTTCTTAAAGGTTTCTTGAAGGTTTCTTAAAGGCTTCTTGAAGGTTTCTTTAGGTTTCTTAAAGGTTTCTTGAAGGTTTCTTAAAGGTTTCTCAAAGGTTTCTTGAAGGTTTCCTAAAGGTTTCTTAAAGGTTTCTTTAAGGTCTCTAAGAGGGTTCTTAAAGGTTTCTTGAAGGTCTCTTAAAGGTTTCTTGAAGGTTTCGTGAATGTTTCTTAAAGGTTTCTTAAAGGTTTTTTAAGGTTTCTTGAAGGTTTTCTTAAGGTTTCTTAAAAGTTTCTTTAAGGTCTCTAAGAGGTTTCTTGAAGGTTTTTTAAAGGTTTCTTAAAAGTTTCTTTAAGGTCTCTAAGAGGTTTCTTAAAAGTTTCTTGAAGGTTTCTTAAGGTTTCTTAAGGTTTCTTAAAGGTTTCTTGAAGGTTTCTTAAAGATTTCTTAAAGGTTTCTTAAAGACCAAATAGTAATAAGCTGTTTTTTAGGGAAAAAATGAAGAATGAGATTATATGAAATAGAATGTTTAACAAGTCATAAGGAGTCCTTTTTTCCATCGATCTACCTTGGCCCTTAATCATTTAAAAGTATAATTTCCTACCAATCTTTCAAAGCAGGATTTTCGAGCATTTTTTTAAGTTTGTAGGTGATAAGTACTTTGGATTCGTTATTTTAAGGTCATCTAAGGGCTCAGTTTCTTATAGATAGTTCCTGATAAAAAATGCGTGTATGAGATTTTGACAAGAAGAAACCCTTACCAATCCTGAGATGTTAACAGTTTCATCCCTTACGCAATCAAGAAACTGAACTCCGGGAACAAGTCTTGACCCCAAAACACTGCAATTGCATTCTATGACAAACATGAACACAACATCAATTAATATTATGAAAAGATCAACATAAATAACATATCATTTTTGTTTGAGAGGTGCAAGATTGACAGTGGCGGCCTGGCCTGTGATGGTCAGTCTGAGGTGCTAAAGCATCTGATCGCGAGAGGATTTCATGGCGAAGTAACGATTTTCTTGATTTAATGTTCATTTCATTAGCGATCAAGTAACTCCATGTTTACATGTGAAAAACGTTGTATTTAGTTGTGGACAAACAAAAAAATAATTTGCATGCGTAACATTAAGAGATGCAAATGATAAACGAGACAGATATGAAACCGAGGCTACATAGAACGGATATTATTGTGTTTCATAGACACGCTGTTTTGGAATTTGTCGGACACTCCAGGTGGAAGGTTTCAAAAAGAATAGGCCTACGTCAAAACGTTTCTGTTGCTGGTAGGCCTATGCCAAGATGTTTATAACAATTGGTTATACTCGTTTTCCGAAGTGAGTACAAGCCAATGATGGGGTAGGAGTACTGAGAAGAGGGATCTGTTATCCCCTATTCTTAGCTCTATTGCAAAGATAGTATAACACTTATAGGGAATTATTTGAGAAACTGCTAAGAAATCTACCAGTCTCCTGGTTCCCTGACAACACTAACATGGGCAGCAGAGGGAAGAGGGGTTAATGAATCTGTCCCACAACTCGAGCAGCTACAAAAACTGGCATATAATAAAGGTAGGTATGTAAACTTTTTTAGAATGAAACTCGAGAGATGAACTGATATAATACCTGTACAGACATCAATAGCAGAGCGACTCTTTCCAACTGCTCGAAAAAACAACGGTATACAAGTTTCGCAGTTTATCCCAGTTGTATTGCGCTGAAAAGGATGGAAACTGATGAAAATATACCAGCGATTAAAATAGATTAGTCCAGGAAATATTTCGTTAGTTGAAACAACTGGACAAGCCTAGCAAACTGGAGGCTGAAAATTTAAAGCTGGTTTTACTTCTTGCCCATCTGGAAAATTTGAAGCCCATCTGGAAAATTCTGATTTTTAATCACTGTAACTTTACACGCCTTTTTTAAGGAAGCACAGGAACCTTCGTGTAGAAGGCAGAAAAAATTAAGGAATCATTAGTACTACAGACAGAACGATCAATAACTTAGAGTTAGGAAGCCGCTTCTATTCATTTGGAGTTACAAACCACATTAACTGTGTGTTACGAAGGCAGCTACCGAATGTTTGATTGTGTAATTTCGAATGCTTCATTTCCCTTCCTGATATAATTTCCACTTTTTTATAAATCAAACTTCTCTCTAGTCCTCTTATAGTTTTAACCCTGATTTCTAACTACATACCGTGCAGTTCTGACAAACACCTCCACCTGAGTAAAATCCAGTCGAGTTTAAACTCAGTCTTGAGTTGGCGACGGTTTGGTTGTAAACACAGGAACTGGCATGTCCATGGCAATTGCATGCTAAATGGAACAGTAGCAATAGTGTCAGAAAAAGCAAACTTCAAATGATAAAAGAAAG